TTTTTTTTTCCTCCAAATGATTTTGAGTTTTGTACCACATTGTTCTCCCTCTGTCAAGGATCTCCTACATAGATCCCCTTCCAAGTGGATGACAGTGGTAGCTGGGCACTATCTAGTTCTTCTGGTCTCATAGTCTTATAGGCTGCAGATCAGATGGTGTAGTAGTCGCTAGGACTAATTGTTTCCATGAATTTTGGTTTTCTTCATTCTTCTTTGCTCTGGACAAGGAGAGACTCATCGTTGCGTCTAGATGGCAGCTGCTAGCTTTTAAGATCCCAGTCACTACTCGCCAAAGTAGGAGGTGGAACAATGTGTTGTATAGTATGTTATGCTAATTGAGCTTGATGTCCCCTGTCACTATGGTCCCAAGCCTGCAGGTTCAACTTCTCAGTCCCTCTGGGTAGCTGGCTGTGACCAAGCAGTGACCACAACCTTGCCCCTTGTTAGCTCTACTATACACCTGGGAATTCTGCTCATTCATATAAACTTATAGGACCATTGTCTGCCAACCCTCTATATGTTCTTGAATACACTTCCCATTTCATAGACATACTTAATTGTTCAGCCTGTCCACCCATCTATCTACAAATATACCCATGTTTGCCTTCACTGACAATGCAGTAAGGACAGTCATTGCTTCTAAAAGTATGTCTTCATCCTTGCCTTACTCCTTTCAAGCTGCAAAGTCCTAGGAGGGAGAGTCCAGCTGTTGGAGATTAAATCATGTGCCGGTCCTTTGACTATAATGGTGTGGTGACAGGGAAGACCTGAGAAGAGGATCTTCCAAGGACCCTTTAGGTTTCTGTAGTTGGAGCACCTAAGGCACTTGACTGCCAACCAGAAGGCTGGCAGTTCAAACCCACCAGCTACTCCTCTGAAGGCAGGTTGAGCAATCTACTTCTATAGTGATACTGCCCCAAGGAGGGGTCACTATGAGTTGGGACCGACTCAACGACTCAACGGCACATAACAACAACAACAACAGTTGGAGCACAGGTCACCTTTTTCTTTTCTTGTAGTCCTGCCATCTATATCTTATCTTATCTTATATCTTATATATCTATATCTTATATGCAGATATCGCCCTGTGTAAATGCTGCCCTTCTGATCTCCCGTGGTTGATTGTTCTGAGGAGTGTATGCCTGGTGTAATTAATTGCTCATCTCATAGCCCTATCTATTGTTTGGCTGGAAGTTAACCCACAAGAGTGAGTTAAATACAAGGCCCAAAGGGTGACTAGGGGCCAGAGTATTGGGGGTTTCACTAGGCTCTATCAGATCAGTAAACCTGGTTTTTTTTTTTTTTTTTTATGATTTTGGGTTTTGTTCCACATTTTTCTCCCACTCTATCAAGGATCCCCTATTTTGATCCCTTTCTGAGTGATTGACAATGGTAGCCAGACATCATCTGGTTTTTCTGGTCTCAGGGTCATATAGACTTAGATTCCCATGGTCCACTAGTCCCTTAGACTAATTCTTTCCATGTATCTTTGATTTTCTTTGCTCTTTTTTGCTCCAGACAAGAAGAGACCAATTGTTGCATCTAAGATGGCCAATAGCCAGCTTTTAAGACCCCAGTCACTACTCACTGAAGTAGGATGTGGAAGAATGTTTTTGTGTAGTATTTTATGCCAATTGAGCTTGAGGTCCCCCTTGACCATGGTTCTGAGCCCATGGGGAGGGCAGGTCACCTTGATATACTATCCCACCAACACTAAACACAGTGGGGGAAAGTAATTCCCCAAAAGGAGATCAGGGTAAATGGGCCAGAAAATGACAATTGTCCACTACATATGTTTCATGGATAGATGTGGGGATTCAATAAAACCCTTTGTAAAGTACCTGCCACTGAGTGTGTGCTCAGCACCTGGGGGTTATTATCACTTTTATTAAGTGTTATTAGGGCCTCTAGGTGGAACTGAGAAGGAATTGTCTATAGAAACTTAAAAGGGAGGAAGGCGGTAGTGGGGAGCCTTCAGGGTATACTAAAGCTTAAATCGTCTGTACATCATCTCAGCATGAAGTAAAAGCACAAAGAACTTGTTAAAGTGATCACTGATCTGTAATTCCTGATCCTCTCTGAGATGGCAACTGGAATACATAGCACTATTCATTTAAGACTACTGAGGCATCTATAAGCTACTGAGAACCTACCTACTATGTATAATATTGTTTCCTTGGAAAAATATTTTTTCAAGTTTTCAGCATGGAAGAGCTGAAAAATGATAAAGTTGTTGCTTGGTAGCCTTGGGTTTGAATCCAGCAATGCTACTTGTAGCTGTTTGTCCTTAGACAAGTTGCTTAACCTTTCTGAGCCACACTTTTTCCAGCTAAAAGTGAGGATAATAGCACCTACTTGTCGTGAGATTAAATGATGTGGTATAAAGTGCCTGATATGGGGCCTTGCACAGTAGGGGCTTCTTATTGGCTTTGGTCAATGGGGAACTCTGGCAGGAAATCAGAGGGAGAGACAGAGTGAGGTCAGTCTATTTATTCTCCTGGTTTTGTCTCTCAGTTGAAAATCACAGCTTCTCTCCTGGCTGCCCTGTCTACAAGGCTCTTTTTCTTCCTGGCTCTGGTAAACACAGCTTCTTTTTACCCCTTTGGGCCTAGAGATGGTAATAGCCCCGCTGTTGCTAACCCTGAGCACAGCTCTGTTCTTTATGTTTCCTCATTGTCCTGCTCACACATTTGTGAATAGTTCCTTTCTTAAATTATTCTCAAATAGTACTAAATTTGAGTATGCCATCTATTTCCTACTGGGACTCTGGTTGATACACAGGCTATGTCTGTATTGGGTCTTGGCCTTAGACTAGGGAAACTGCCTAAAAGTGATTGAAGTCATACTTTGGGGCTTAATTTCCAGGCCCTGACATCTGCGGCATTGGCAACAACAAGGTATAGGTCATCCTTCATTATCAAGGGAAATACTATGAGAACAACAAGACCATCAAGTGCCAGGTAAGCGTGTGGGCTGGCTCTAAGCCTAGAGAGAAAGATAAGTGTTTTGTATATGTTATCTCATTTAATCCTTACAAAAAAAAAAAAAAAAAAAAAACCCTGTAAATACTGTCATCTTAATTTTACAGATTAGGAAATAGATCTACAGAAATGCTATAAGTTGCAGTTCACATAGGAGTGACTGATCTCAAAACCTAGGGTGCCATGTGAAGTCATCTCTTGAGACACTGCAAGCATGGCCAAATCTCTATTGCTAGACTAGAAGAGAGGAGTGTTGGGCTTAGAAGTGGGGGGTGGGCTTACTTAATCACATCAGGCCAAAGAAGTCTAGGTTGGGTGCAAGATAATAGCTAGATTTCATCAGCAACTCAACAGGCAATCATAGAATGCCAACTCTGTGCCTTGGGCCGGAGCAGAGTGAGTCAGACATGGCCTCTGCCCTCATAGAACCCACAGTGCAGTGAAGGTGACAGTCACGTAAAATAGAATGATCACCCAGTGTGCTCAGGTTCTGTGGGAGTGCAGAGAGGGTGCTTTACTCAATCTGGAGGGTTAGGAAATGCTTCCTAGAGAAGGTTTCCCC